CCGACACACTCTTTACTGGGTCTCGACTGGATCATCTAGCATGAGCCTCTGTTTCTGCGCTTAAACGAGGGCTCTATCTGCAATGTATCCTCATCGACGCTCGACGCATTGAACTCTTCACTCACTATGCGCTTGAAGCAGAGGTTTTCCACCGTTTTCACGCCTGGATTAGGACATTACACCAAGTCGAAGGCCAAGCTCACTCTGAAGCCTAAGGCTAAGCCTGTTTTTCAAAAGGCTTGCCCTGTTCCATATGCTGATGTTCAGAAGGTTTCGACTGGAATCGATCGCCCTGTATCTACACAGGTTCTGACGCCCATCGACCACTCAGAATGGGCCGCTCTTATCGTCGCCGTTCAGAAGAAAAATGGTTCAATACGACTCTGCGCAGACTACTCGACAGGACTGAACGACGCACTTGAACAGCACCAACACCCACTTCCAACTCCAGATGACGTTTTCACGAAACTCAACGGAGGGCACTACTTTTCACATCTCGACCTTGCCGAAGCGTACCCGCAACTGTAAGTGGACGACGATTCGAAACAGCTACTGACGATCAACACGTACCGAGGACTCTTCCGTTTCAATCGCCTACCATTTGGGATGAAACCCGCTCCCGGCATCTTCCAGCAATGTATCGACGCACTCATTGCCGGATTAGATGGAACTGCCGCCTTCCTCGACGACATAGTGGTCACTGGCGACGAACACAACACTCAACTAGACGCTGTGCTCCAGCGAATGCAGGACCACGGATTCCGTGTTCGTCTCGAGAAATGCAATTTTTCACAGACAGAGATCAACTACCTTGGCTTCGTCATCAACGCGCAAGGGCGACGCCCTGGCCCCGACAAGATCAAGGCCATTCAAAAGATGCCAGCTCCAAAAGACGTCAGTCAGTTACGCGCATTCCTCGGTCTTATCAATTTCTACGGAAACTTCTTCAAAGATCTACACAATCTACGCGCTCCGTTAGATGCCCTTACGAAGAAGGATGCTGTCTACACGTATACACCAGAGTGCCAATCTTCCTTCGACAAGATAAAGGCAACTCTCAGCTCGGATCTGTTGCTGACTCACTTCGATTCGAATTTTCCGATCATTGCAGCCGCCGACGCTTCTAACTACGGAATTGGAGCAACACTATCATACCGATTCCCCGACGGATCAGAGAAGGTCGCCTACCACGTCAGCCGTTGCCTCACCTCAGCACAGAAAAACTACAGCCAGATCGAGAAGGAAGCTCTAGTTCTCATATTCGCTGTGCAGAAATTTCATCGCTTTGTCCACGGACGACACTTCACGCTGAAGACCGATCACAAACCACTCGTTGCTATTTTCGGAAGCAAGAAAGGAATACCTGTCTACAGTGCCAACCGTCTTCAGCGATGGGCCACAATGTTACTCAACTACAACTTCGCGATCGAGTATGCCAACACAAAGGATTTCGGACTCTCACGTCTCATAGCGTCGCCTTATCGAGAACTGCCGTCACCTTCCGGTCCCTGCCGAAAGAATCCGGACTGCTACAAGAGCTGATCAGGTCATAAAGAAGATCATCGACTACATAAAGTCTGGAAATTGGCCCACGATCAATCGCAACTCTCCTTTCTGGCACCACTACAACCACCAAGATACTCTTACGACCGTCGACGGTTGCCTACTCACCGCATCTCGCATCGTGATACCAGGATCACTACAACGCCGTTTACTTACGACACTACACAAGGCTCATCGAGCAGACAAGGATGAAGATGTTAGCACGAAGCTACGTCTACTGGCCAACACTGGACTTCGGCATCGAACAACTTGTCAGGAATTGTAGCAAATNCGCTTCAATGGCGAAGAATCCCGTCAAAGGCGAACTATATTCCTGGTCAAAACCAACCTCTCCATGGATCCGTGTGCACACTGACTTTGCAGGACCCATGAATGGACGATTTTACCTGATACTTGTGGATGCATATTCCAAATGGCCTGAAATCGTCCAGATGTCATCGATATCTTCTACATCTACTATAAAGGGGTTGAAGGACATTTTCGCAAGGTTAGGGAACCCTCCGACTCTTGTCACGGACAACGAGACGCAGTTTACATCTTCGCAGTTCGCCCTGTTCTGCCGTTCCGGGGGAATCACGCACATTCGCACACCGCCTTTCCATCCACAGAACAATGAACAGGCTAAACGCTTTGTTGATACCTTCAAACGAGGACACGACAAATTGAAGGGGAAGGAACCGACAGTTGACGCTCTTCAGACGTTTCCGATGGCTTACCGTTCTATGCCATGCCCGTCTGCACCGAATCAACGCTCACCTGCCGAGGCCTTCCTGGGACGTCGACTACGAACCGATCTTGACCTGATGCTACCTCAAGAAGACGTCGCTGATGGACAACGAGACGTCAAAATGGAAACACAATTCAACCGAAGACACGGAGCACTACGTCGCAAGTTCGAATACAACGACACTGTCTACGCCAAAGACTACAGAGGAACTAAGCAGTCTTGGACTCCGGGTGCCATCGTTCAACGTGTTGGGAACACAACATACCTCGTATGCTGTGGAAATCAACTATGGACCCGGCACGTGAACCAACTACGACCTAGAAGCGACACAACCACAACCACAACTACAAACACTCTTTTGGATGTGTTCGATCTGCCGCTCTTCGATCGTGTGAACAAGGACCGTGCGCCGCGGACGACTCCGACCGATCCACCGAGACGATCGCAACGCAATCGACGACCGCAACGCCAACTCCAGTTGGATCCTAAGAAGTCCCGATACGAGACCACTTAAGAGGGGTTGTAGGGTATAATAATATTCCTGGTCAAAACCAACCTCTCCATGGATCCGTGTGCACACTGACTTTGCAGGACCCATGAATGGACGATTTTACCTGATACTATCTATCAGCGTTATCAATTGCACATGCTATCATAGACTTTGCAAGCCCGCGCATTGTACGTAGCTCCGTTTGAATAATACCCAGAGGTTTTTATGACTCCAAATCATTCTACTCCGTCATACATTCGTGTCCGGTGCTACTTCCAATAAACCTACATATCTACTGTTCTTCGACTGTCTACGACAAGCTCATCTACAACTGGCGGCCACCTACAACAAGACCTTTCTACCGAGACTCAACACTCACGATGCTAACATAGCCTTCACGAAGGGAAATTCAGGTAGGGAAGGATTTCTACCAACCCTCAATGCAAAGGTTCGGATTAACGAAGGTTACAGTGATCTGCGGTATCGAAAAAGTGCTTTGTCGAACATCTTGTAGAATTCTAGAAGCGCACATCCTGATCTGTCCACACTCCTTCCATAACCTCTAACCACCTATTTTCCGCGTTCATATATATTTTTAAGAAGAGTCATGAGATTTGATCCCAACCGTCCCAGCGCAGACTACGCCCACTTTAAGGATTTGACCGCATCTCTTCTATAGCCTCTGGCAACTTTTCCGCATTTAGTAACGTTATCGAACAGAATCATATGTATATTCCCGTCTTATCGGGAGGCGCGCCCCGCACATCGAGGACATGGCTTCGCTTAGGTTACGCATGCTCAGCATGATCTGCATGTTACAGGCCTCGGTGACTCCCTTTATTTTTTTCTGGCCTCCACACCCTCGTTTCGTTGGATCGAGAAAGGTAGCAGCGCCCATTCCGACGCTTGTCTCGCCCCCTATAGGCGAAGCTTCTGGTGAGCTCACATGTGCTTTGTTGATTTTGTATAGGCGCCACCCAACCCGAACTTGGCCTGACCTCTACAGGTGCTCTTGGTGTAAAACCAGATTTTGCGACACACAAACGAACACACAAAAATACATACATATAGAGACACACCTAACTAGTGGGTTATACAGTGTACGAATTGCTTGCTAGTAGGTTATATCACTATGCAGGAATGTTTGCGAGGCATCAGGTTCTCTTTACTTCGATATCAGTTGCAACAAAACTAAGCTGACTACTCAAATTTGGAAATCGACAGGCGTTACCAATAGCTGAGCACGTTATAAGGTACCAATCAACATTTCGGTTAACTGCTAAGGTTGGCCAGTTCTAGAGTAAGTGGGGCCTACGAAGAAAAAAATTCTCATAATAACGGTGTCAAGATCCTGAGCAAATGTATTTTTCATCACAAGAATGCTCAGAAAGGGCACTATCAATGGAGGGGAACTCAGCGTTAAGTTCGAACATAGAACGTTGCCGGTATAGATAGGAATCAAAGTAATGGAATACTCTCTTCACATCACTCACTTCACTTCATTAACGGACCCACCAAGTTATTGTTTGATATCACCTGTAACACCTGTCGTCCCGTTGATCATCGACTCCTCGAGCGGGCGCCAGTAACGTCTCCATCGTCCCTGTCACGAGCTAGAGTGGTCCAGTGAATCGTCCTCGCTTCAGGGACACAAGTTTCAACATTCCTTGCGTTCAGAGCTTTCGTGAAGAAGTCTGACCATCTCGTTTGCGGCCTTCCTGGAGTTCCTTTGATGTCCCGAGGGATCCAGTCAGTAGCCGCCCTGGTCCAACGGTCATCACGATATAGCATAACGTGCCCGGCCCACCTGATATTTGATTTCTTGGCGTAATCAACTGCAGCCCTGATCTTCGTTCGTTGACGGAGCTCGGAACTCCGGATTCCCTTCTGCATTTGCGTGTATAGGGAAATTCCGAGCATCGCCCTTTCCAAAGCGTGTTGAGTAACGCTGACAGCATGCTCATCCTGCTTTCGTAGAGTCCAAGCTCCGAGGCGTACTTCAAAGCAGGAATGACAGCAGTGTCGAGAAGGTTAGCGCGGTTCGGACGTTCTTTGTCTTCTTCACTACCCCCTCGATATTCTTAAATGATCCCCAAGCGGCGCGTTTCCTTCTCACAGCTCTGGAGCTAGGCCGTTCATCATATTGATTTCCCGACCTAAGTACACATAGCTAGAGCATTCGGAGATATTCGTTCCGTTCAGCGTAGAAGGAGCACTAGGTACCAGTCCGTTTTTCATGAACATCGTCTTCGTTAGGTCCAGCCCCGAGCCGACCTTCCCACAAGCACTATTAAACTCGGTCAGCAATCGTCCCGCCTGCTCGATGTTCGGTGTTATAAGCACGATGTCGTCTGCAAAGCGGAA